ATAAGGGGTCTGTAACACCAATAACATTATTTATAATAATCTTCTGTGCTTTACAGGACATACCATTACTTTATATTGTACCTGGAATTCCTGCTTCAGGTTTTAGCTTTTTTTTCACTGTTTGAAAAATCTTGACCTCTCCATTAATGATAAACTTGTCGTACAATTTTATATGTTCTTCTTTAAAATGAAGATGGCAAATATTATTAGTGGCTTTTAATTTAATACCCAAACACTTTTGCCACTTGTCTAATCTTGCCGGTGTCTGTGAATATAAATTTATATAATACTAAAATATAAATGTGTTGATTGAACATTAAAGAAGCGTTAAACCCTGATTAATAAATCTCATTTGAAATGAGTAAAAAACAATTTGAAATAAAAATTTTTCGAGTTAAATACTATTTAAATATACACATTGCATAGATTGAATTGTTTTAAATTTGATTTTTTAATCAGGGTGTCGTAAAATAAATAAATAATTCAAAGTAAATTACTCAACGTACAGAAGGTTGGAAAAAAGACAGATGCTGAGACGGATCATTTTTTGTAATTTTTAGTTTGCGTCCACTAGGACAACTTTTCAATACAACCATTTTTCCCATTATTTTATATCGTTTAATAACTATCACCACAATAAAATCACTGATAATTATTCAAAAAATTCATATTAATAAAATTACGCTTTCTCTCTGCAGTATTTTGTTTATATTTACTAAAACATTTTTTAGACTACGTAAATAGTTGAGGTTTTGTATACTAGCATTTTACTAACTACTCGAGTCATTAAAATTTTTAAATATTTGAACTGAGCAAACTTCACTCCATTTATAACAGCTATGTTCATATTGAAACTACTCGAACGCCAGCGCTATTCTGGTAGGTAATGGAAACTTTATTCTCAGCATACAGCTGGACAATTTTTCAACTTTCCCCCATATGAGACGGTTCTCCTTACCTCTACCCTCCATAATCTGTGGGTACCCGGGTACCCGGTTGCTAAAAGACGTCGGTAAAGTTGGTTATTAACATAAGGGTTATATTTATGATCTGATCATATTTATGAGCATGATCTGACCATATTTATGATTACGATCTTATCATATTTATGATACCTAGATTTCGCTCAATCCAACTTTTTCCCTCATTGTTAGAAATCCGTTTTAAAGCCCGTTTCAAGTATAAATTCACACTTATAACTAAAAGCAAAATAAATTGTAACACTCCCTAGAAGCTTATTAACCCAAATCTTTTGTTGAAACATAACTTGACTGGTACATAATTAAAGAAAACGTGAAATGAGATCACCTGTGGTTAAGTATCGTGTTAGTACTCGGTAAAGTATTACTTTTATTTTAACATCTATTTATACTTTTCCATTTGTTATAAAAGACCGTATTACGGATTTATGTCAAGGGTTTTTATTTTTCTTCTCTGTAATTTCTTCCGCTTCTTTTTCATCTCCAGCTCATTCCAGTTCTTTTAGCCTAAGCTCCGCAAAACGTATAGCGATGCGACGAATGAAATCCTCAAGTTCTAAACCTTTTTATCCAACTAAATAGGGTTAGGTGGTTGTTAATTTTTTATAGAACGAATTATGTCGAGCATAGCAACACTACAAGTCACATATGTTAAGACTTATTTTAATAAGAGGATTGTTTTTATAAAAATTTTTTTTTTGTTGGTAAATAGGCTCGTGTTTTACAGCAAATTAAATTTAATTGAGTAATTCATTTAATTAATTTTACTGATGGTCAATTAACACGACAAAAAATATCAGATCAGGTCATTAAGATATACGATGATGTCATTACTCAGTACTCATAATTTATTGCATTGCAATGTTTAATTATTGCATACTTATGCTGATAAAAAAAAGCAAGTACTGGTCCAATTTTTATAAGTGTTCAAGTACTGGGAACTTTACCTAACATTACTAATAAAATTTTTATATAAAAAATGATGTAATTTTTATGATAATACTTCAGGTAGAAGTAAAGCATTTTCATGATTTCAATTCAATTTCACCCCATGTCTCGTTCAGATGGAATCTACTGAGCAGTTACAGCTGGAATTAATTAATCTCCGGATGTCTCGGACATTATTATCAAGTTCTAAAATGTACCAACTATTTCATTCTCTTCTCTTCTTTTCTCCAGCTCTTACGCTTTGGTTCTTTATTTTGGCTCTTCTTCTTCCCTCTATTCTCTTATTTAACACTTTTCAATCCGAGTGGAAAAGAATTTTCTTCATTAATTAACAGCGGAGCAAACGATGGAGTGAAATTTATTATCCTTATACTTTTTGCTTTATTTATTTTTACTTTCATGCTACAGTAAATTGTCTACTAATTCAACATCTTCATTGACTTAACTTTTTATTATTATTGTCATAATTATTATCATCAAGATTTTTTTCATTCCAGTTTTTTTAGTGCACACTCAAATATTCAAAGTAAAAACTTGTTTTCAAGAAAATAAAAATCAGATCTGACCATGATCATATTATGACCCATATTAACAGATCTTACAATAGAAAAATATGATCAGATCTGATTGTGATCAAATATGATCAGACCTGATCATAGTCATATATATTACCAGATCTAATAATGATCATGTCGTATTATGACCCACGATGATCATATCTAAATATTATCTACTGAGATTATATCTGGTAATGGTCAGATATGACCAGATTATGATATGATCATGGTCAGATATAACCAGATCATAATATTATCGTATCTAATCATGGTCATACATGGCCAGATCATAATTATGATCATATCTGATCATGGTCAGATATGATCAGATCATAAACATATCAAAATATGATCAAATATTATAATATGATTATATCTGATCATGGTCAGATATGACCAGATCATAATTATGATCATATCATGATCATGGTCATATATGACCAGATCATAATTATGATCATATCATGATCATGGTCAGATATGACCAGATCATAATTATGATCATATTTGATCATGGTCAGATATTATCAGATCATAACCAGATTATATGATGATAATGACCAGATCATAATATGATCATGGTCAGATATGGCCAGATCATAATTATAATTATATCTGATTATGGTCAGATTTGATCAGATCATAATATGAACATGACCAGATCATATTATGATAATTTCCGAATTATAGTATGATTATGGTCTTATATGACCAGATCATAATTATGATCATGATCAGATATGACCAAATCCTAATATGATCATATCATGATCAGATATGACCAGATCATAATATGATCAAATGTGATCATGATCAAAAATGGTCATATCTGATTATGGTCAGATATGACCATATCTTATTGTATTTGAGTATAATGAGGTCGAGTTATGATCAGATCTAACCAGATCTGATTTTGATAAGGGTAATTTTAATTAAAATTCTTTATCAAGTCTTCAATTAATAATCTGACCTGAATTTTTTCATTATGACAAATAAATACTGAAAAGTTTTAGTAAAATGATAAATATTCAGAGTGTCCTTTTAGACTTCTGATTGGAATAAAAAGTTTGAATGGATCAAAGCCGGGTGAATAGTGATATAAGAAGATAAGACCGATGACGTCGAGACAATAGGGTACGAGAATGGTCTATAAAAGTGGAATAAAAAAGTATATATTTTAAATATTAGCCGAGAAAAAAGCCGGTGTACTCAAGACCGAGATACTTCTGTGCTTATACACAAAAAGAAGTGGAGAATAATCATAATAATCCGAAAGGAGTTCGAGTAGAAGTCGGAGGTAAAAAGAAAAATGATAGTCGAGTCTTGGAAAAATGAATACTGGAATAAAGGTACAAAAGAAAAGTTTGTTAAAAAAAAAATAAAAAAGTTTAACAAGGCCAATAAGAATCCTTTTTTTGTTTCAAGTATTTTTGCTGAATATTTGTTTACATTATATTACATAAATAATAAAAAATAATAAATAAACTTGAAAGCAATACAATACTGTCGATGTGCGAAAGAATCGTTAAAAACCGGAAGGCATTTTTCGTGAAGACGAATGGGTTAATTCAGTATCGAAAAAGGGTGCGTTCGTTTTAAATTGAATCATAAATCCCGCTGATTTAAACTTTTTTAGAAAAAAAAAAACCAGCGCATGTATCGGTGATTATAAATTGAATATAAAGATAAAAGATATAGAGGATCGTCGAGATTAATATTAATGCCCATCGCGAAAGTTTTAACAACGTGCCGAGAGGGTTATCTCTCTATATCTTTTTGCCTGGTATATATTCCGTAAAATATTTGTACAGCGTAGCTACAAATTCCAATTTGAGAAACCGCTTCCCAGCCGTGCTCTATACCAAAGAGTGTATGTAATAACACTATAACTATGGGAGTGTTCTGTTTCAGACTCATGTGACCCACCATGAGATTTAAATTAATTAATTAATAACCCTCGTCTCGCCTCGGTTATAAATATTCTATTTTATATGCATCCCTCTTTATTTATTTATAACCATACTCCTAATGTATTTATGCCCTGGTCTTACTCGGGACTTAGTAATCTCGGTTCATTATTATGGAAATTAATTTTGATTGATAATTAACACGTTTTTTTATTTCAATCGATTAAAAATAATTTCAATTGACTTTAAATTTAATTTCGCATCCTTTACTGCTTCAATTTGTGGCTGGTTCTTAAAAAAAAATAATCTAATATATCTGATCAAATCTGATATATCTTATACATCTGATCATATCGAATATATCTGATCATATCTAATATATATGATCAGATCTAATATATCTGATCAGATCTGATAGATCTGATATTTATGATCAGATCTGATAGATCTGATATATAGTTAATCAGATCGGTTAGATCTGAAATATAAATAATCAGATCGGTTAGATCTGATATATATAATCAGATCTGATAGATCTGATATATATGATCAGATCTGATAGATCTGATATATATGATCAGATCTGATAGATCTGATATATATGATCAGATCTGATAGATCTGATATATATGATCAGATCTGATAGATCTGATATATCAGATCTAATCTGGTAGATCTGATATTAATGATCAGATCTATATATCTGGCCAGATTTGATATATTTGGTCAGATCTGATATATCTGGTCAGATCTAATAGATCTGATATATCTGATCAAATCTAATAGATCTGATATATATGATCAAATCCAATAGATCTGATACATATGATCAGATCGGTTAGATCTGACATATATGAACAGATCGGTTAGATCTGACATATATGAACAGATCGGTTAGATCTGATACATGTGATCAGATCTGACATATATGATCAGATCTGTTAGATCTGATATATATGATCAGATCGGTTAGATCTGATATATATGATCAGATCGGTTAGATCTGATATATATGATCAGATCGGTTAGCTCTGATATATATGATCAGATCTGTTAGATCTGATACATATGATCAGATCTGATATATCTGGTCAGATCATGTATATCTGATATATCTGATCAGATCTGATACATCTAATTTAATTTGATGTTTCTGATCAAATCTGATATATTTGATCATATCTGATACATCTGATCAAATCTGATGTATCTA